CTCGCGACCAATGAAAAACCGGCACAGAAATGGCCATATTCTGTCTATAAAGGTACTCTAGTTTAGATAGTTTAGATTACCGTATTGCGCAATAGAGATGAGCCGAGTCGCAGTGATCCGTGATCTCTTCTCAGCTAGCCATTCACTCTCCGCCGCGGTATTTTGATTTTGGGTATGAGGAACATTGACGCTCCACACAATGTTGTCATATTGCAATCACTTTTCTAAACTTAATTTATTCGCCTTTTTTCATAATTTAGAGTAGGGATGGTCGAATATTTAGATTTTCGAATATTCGATATTCGAATTATCGGCACCGAGATAATCGCATAGCATTCGAATATTCGCTTCCGAAGTATTCGAAATTGCAAATTAGAATATTCTAATAATCGCATTCGAATATTCGAATAATCGCATTCAAAAGTATCAAAAGTGTCATTTCATCTCTCAAGGTTCATAAAAAATCAAAAATCGAAGCAATAATCGAAAATATTCGAATATTCGCTTTTGAACTATTCGCAATCGCAAGATTCGAATTCTCAAATAGGTAATCGCAATTATCGCATTCGAAAAGTTTTGAATATTCGAATAATCGCATTCGAATTCGATATTCGCCCATCCATAATTTAGAGTACCCATTTGCGCAAATGGGTCCCTTCATCCACCGCCCCAAAAGCGCAAAATGCAGATTTACGGTTTTGGGGTTTGCGGTTTTGGAAACTCAAAACGAAAACGAGTCCAACGTCGCTCGTATTGGATGCCTCTATGATTGCTAGAGGCTAAAACTTTGCCCCCCCCCCTCACCCACCATCCCTCGACCCTTTACTCCTCAACCTAAAACTGTTTCCGAAATCACACGCTGAATTTGGCAGCTGAATATGGGAGTCATCGCTCAACAGCTGAAATTTCGTAAATTCGAGTTCTTTTCATTGTTCGAGTTTGTATCAAATCCATTCAAATAGTTCAGGCAAACTGATACCTGCTGAGCTGCGATCGTCATTGGTGCCCGGGAGGCATCGGACTGATGACCTCCACATAAAAGCCACACTCAGTTTCAGTGGTGTGGCGTACCTAAATGATCGATAATCGATATTTCTCTTTTTGTACTTATGGTAAAAAATCGATTATTAAGGTGTTTGTTGCGAACACCCTGTCAGTCGATCCTTTTTCATAGGTTTAAATGACAGATCAAACGATATATCGCAAACCACTCCACGCCCTCTGCTCAGTTCCAATATTCAGCATGTGATTCCGATTTAGCGATGAATTTACCTCATTCTCTCATCCAGCAAAAGCTGCTATCGGAGCCCCAATATCTTCGCACCGACTAAGTTTCTTCGATGCCAATACAATTACGTCTTAATGCTTTTCAAAAATAAAATACAAACATGTGTAACACCTATTTAGTAGGGTCCGAAGATGTTTCCAAAACGCTGATGTAATGAGGGGTTTCTGACATTAGAATTACTCAATTTGCAATTTACGCACTGGCAGAATAATAAGGGGCTATGTATGTATAAGAGAAGTATTCAGTTTGAAGCGAGTTAAGAGAGGAGCATGCAGTCTAAATGCAGAGCGTTGCAAAAAAAACTGTATTTTGCTATACCAAGTTTTGTTTGCATTTCTACCACCTTATTCTATGAGAACAACTGGCTTAAATCACAAAATATGTACACAAAACAAACCTCCTCGGTTGTTTCATAGGGAATGGATGATCGATAGTTCGAAACAAACGATTAGCAAAATGCCTTATATACCCTCTCCATCTACTTTAATAGAAATCCGTAAAAATCACAGCATATTTCTGCGCGCCGGCTCTGTTATTCCAAATTTTAAGCCTAAGTTTCTTAAAATTGGTCCAATTTTTTAAAGGTTCGAAGGGGGGGGGGATACTTACTTATTGAACCCCTCATAACTAAGGTTGTACGGTATACATGAAGCCCCCTCCTCCCTTGCATAACTTATAAATAGTTGAATGAAGAGAAATAAAATCTTCAATAAAAACTATCTTTTGCAGGGTTCAACGTTTTAAACACCCTCAGAAGGGCCTCTAGGGGCCTCAATTTTCTTTTTCAAACGACACCTGTTACTTTGTGATGAAGCACTAGGAACAAGTAAAAAAGAGACATTTTGGCGCAAATTGTAGGTCTTCATGGTCAAAGTGCACAACCGCGTATTTCCATCGCGATGTTTCAACATTGCCGCTCCTATTTTGTTTTTTCGAAAAAGAACAAACAAACTTTATACATACTTTAAAATTTATACAGATTATTCTGCTGATCGAGAAACAGATTCAAGGAAATTTTCAAGAAAATTTCGTCGACTAGTTTTCAAAAGAAAAATAAAGTAGGTATGACTTGAAGTTTGCGACTCAAATGGAGATTTTTGTGATTTTGAACTTTGGCCATCGATATGTTCAAAGTGCCATAAATTACAACCTCATTGGAGCGCTGTTCTGAGATTGCAATACACAAGGACCTTTATTGGTTTTTGCTGGAGAGTTTCTTTTATTAACTCCCTGATGTTGTACCCCTCAAACTAGGTTGTCAAAAATGTAATTCAAGGGCGGTCGGGGTAGGGTGTTCCTGTTTGAGGTTCACCTCCAAATTATGATGGTATCTCCTAAATCGTTGATCCCACTCATAAAATGAGATTTCACTAAAAAAAAATTGTTAAGGGTTACGCACGGCCAAAATCCACCACCTCCCGCCTTGGGCCAAATTCTGCATTTTGCCCATTTTGACGATTTTTTATTCAAAATTCGAATCGAGCTGGAGCTTCAAATTTCACAGTCAGAGCATATGTTAGACTACTTTAAAGAAAAATTATTGTTCACGTCGTCATGCGTTCCCGTTTTTTGCTAAAAACCCTCAAAATTGGCTAAAAACGCAAGAATTTCAATATTTTGTACGTTTGCCCTCTGGCGATTTTTTCACCTGACAAAATTAAATTAAACAGGAAATGTACCATTAAGTGCATCTTGATACTCATTTTAACCAAAATTCATACTTCACTTTATCAACCCCTCTCCCCCCCTTATATTTCGGAACTGCAGCGTTTCCAGGCCCGATAGGCGCATAGGATTTTTTCCATAAAAGCTTATGTTTTTATTCATATTCATACATTTCAAATGTGGACGTAGTGTTTTTTTTTTCAAAGAAAAAAAAAATTGTATTTTGATAAAGATATAATTTTACAAAAATACAGTACAAGAGTACGGATAAGAGAGTGTCAGATGTTGCATTGGCGTCTTTTTCAACACATTAATGATACCTTAGTGACAGGTTGGGGCCTTTGCCTGTTTTAAATTAATTCATTACTAATAGTATGAGGAGAAAAATAGCGAATCACGGAAAAAAATAAAATGTTGATTTAGCATTTATAATCCTGGAAAAATGTGCGAGATGTTTCAAATGCTGATTTTACATTAAAAACTGCTAACTTTACTTTTTAATATGTTCATTTAACCGTGACCGTAGTTAAGTTAGCATTTTTTTAATGTAAAAACAGCATTTGAATCTCCTCGCACATTTTTTTAACATTATAAATGCTAAAGCAACATTTAATTTTTTTCCGTGAAGGCCTTGGTAACTAAAGAGAGCAATGATAATTATCTCAATAAATTGGTGACAACACATATATTTATCCTATCATATGGCTGATTTCATAACCCCCCCCCCCCAAAAAAAAGAAAAAGAGCACCACATGCATAGTTATAGAATCTTCTTTCATGAAACTTCCACCAAGCATTACCAGGTACATAGAAAGTAGAAAGAAATGAATAATACATTTCCTCAATGGTTTAGGCACCTTGCCACTTTTTTTTGGAAGAGTAACCTTGATTGTCTGAAGTATATTCAATCCGCTCTTCTTTTTTGTCTACTAAGCTTCTGTTCAAGTAATTTAGAAGAAAGAAATGATGCTGTTTCTAATTGTTTGGCGCTTGGGTCCATTCCAATTTATTTTAGTAAAATTATATTTTTGTCAAAAATACAACTTTTTTTTTTTTTTTTTTTTTTTTTTTTTTTTTTAAAAAAAAAGTCCTCATTATGCTTTCCCATTTTTCATACGTAAGTATGAATTGACAATGTGCCCGACCTGACTATCTGCACTCGGTTTGCGAACCTTTCGCAACCGTTCGCGCCTCTTTGAACTGTTCATGGAATACACGAGTCAGTTAAGGTCGGGAGGGATTTGCCTGCAAAAAGTCGAAGCTACAGTTTTCGGTACGAGAAGAACGATGCGCACGTTAAAATTTCACGAAAAATTGCCTCCGTGGAGATATAACGCTTCCTTTTTAGGGGTCCTCGAAAACATGTTTGAACCAACCGCCGTGAATCGTCGTATCTACGCGTCACAGAACAGGAAGATGGCGGCGCAGAAGCCGACCTGCTTACTACCGCGTGCCGCCGTTGTTGACATCACGATTTCTCGTTTGAGGTTAAGTAAGTTCTGTGTGAATGTTTCATATCCTACATACATCTGTATCGCATACTGATTGAAAACCTTACAGAATTGAAAACAATCAATATGAATCTCAAACAAAGTAACCTACATAACCTCAAATTTACCAACAAAAACCCACCGCCAACGTGACGCCGCCGTGTATTCTTCCACTACGCATTCCGCCGCCATATTGATCGTGACGTATACATGCGAAACCTAAGAGCGCCACGTTTAAACGCCGTTTTAGGCCACCCTAATTTTTGGCACTTTCAAATAAACTTTTCTCCCGTTTGCAGTCATCAAAAAAAAATTAGGAAAAAAAAACTGTAAGCTTCGGTCACTTACTACTTTCGAATGACACAATAAAAAAAAAAAAATGACTCAACTGACTCATTCTTGACAAGAGGTTCCTAGACAGTAGATTTAACTTGATGTAGGACATGGGAAACCCGATTTGACAGGAATACCCCTTCGGTTCAATAACTTACACCAGTATTTAAATGTGTTTATTTATTTATCAAATAATTTACTTAAAGTATTTTAAAACTTTTCAGGACATCAAACCGGACAGAATTCCTGATCCAGGAGGCTCAGGAAAAATGGTAGAAGATTTTTGGGCACCTTTCAAACGCCTTTTGGGGGACGCTAAGTTTGTGGAAGGTTTAGTTAATTATGATAAAAGCAGCATTACTGCAAAAACAGGGAAAACTTTGAAAGAAAAATTTCTGAGTCACGAGGAATTTGATGTTGATAAAGTCAAGTCCGTTTCTATCGCCGCCGAAGGTACCACATTGAAACTTACATTTTATTTTATCATAATGCATCCTCAAGGAGCACGCTTCGGAAGAATTTTCCATTAAGATCGTAGAAAAGTTCCAACTCTTAGATTTCTTTCGTGCTTAGCGGGAGTAGTTCGCTTGGAAAAGTGGAAAAAACTACTTTCGCTTCTTTCGCCATATGATCTTCCTTTAGGGTAAGATTGACGCCATACACGGCTTTAGAAAAGGGTCTTCGTTCTTTTATTCTTGGAGGTAGTACTTTGCGTTGATGATCGAAGATTTGTACATTGATTCTATTTGCCGCAAACCTCGGCCTCCTAATTTTCTCCTCACGTATGCCTGTTGACATCTGTGGATGGATGGTGCATTTTGGACATTGTCAAGTACTTTCTCGATTTTATGTCTAAAGCTTTTATTTCTTTCATTTTCCAATCCAGAATTGCAAATCCGTACTGCAGAACAGGTACGGCTAGCGCTCCGATTGCAGTTATCTTGCTTTTTGCCGTTAGCTCTGTCTTCAGTACTGCTCTGTCGTGTACAGGGTTATCCAAAAGTCACCTACCACCCCTGTAACTTTTTCCCTAATTGAGATAGAGTTTTGAAACTTTGGGAATGTTCCTCGGTCTAAGGTAGCAACTTTTTGGTCCCCCAAAATTTTTTTGGGGGGGGCGGCCCCCCTTAAGGGGGGCGGGGGAAACTTTTTTTTTCAAATGGCAACCCCCCTTTTGTGATACCTCATTCAAAAGATAATAAAAAAGAAATTTTTGGCGCAAACCGCAGGTCAAAATGTTGATTTTTGACAAAATGGCAGCCGGTCAAAGTTCAAAATGGCGGAAATTTGGCATCTCCGTTTTTTATCTGTGGATTGGTCTGAAACTCAGAAATCTAGGGTTTTTCGGGACGAGAAAAACGATTCTGGCATTTGTTATCCAGAAATGTCAGTCCTTTTCAAAATGGCGGCTTAGAGTGGGAAGTGGATATTTAGGCTGCTTATCGCCGGATTTGTATGAGACTTGGTATCCGGGGGTTTTTCGGCACGAGAAGAACGAATCTTTCATTGGATTTTTGGAATTTTTATAAACTTTAAAATGGCGGCAGAAAATGACGGAAAATCCATATCAAGGCTGTTTACCGATAGATTTTCACAAAAGTCAATACTCTGGTGGTTTTTGGCTCGGAAAAAATAAATCTTCCATTAGATTTTGGAAACACCGAAAGTCGTCAAAATGGTGGCGGAAAAATAACGGAAAATCCGCATCCACCATCGCCATTCAAATTTTCGCCACCATTTTAAAGCTTTTAAAAATTCCAAAAATCTAATGAAAGATTCGTTCTTCTCGTGCCGAAATACCCCCGGGTACCAAGTCTCATACAAATCCGGCGATAAGCAGCCTAAATATCCACTTCCAGCTCTAAGCCGCCATTTTAACCGCCGCCATTTTGAAAAGGACTGACATTTCTGGAAAACTAATGCCAGAATCGTTTTTTTCGTCCCGAAAAACCCTAGGATTCTGAGTTTCAGACCAATCCGCCGATAAAAAACGGAGATGCCAAATTTCCGCCATTTTGAACTTTGACCGGCTGCCATTTTGTCAAAAATCAACATTTTGACCTGCGGTTTGCGCCAAAAATTTTCTTTTTTTATTATCTTTTGAATGAAGTATCACAAAAGGGGGGTTGCCATTTGAAGAAAAAAAGTTAGCCCCCGCCCCCCTTGCCGCCCCCCAAAATTTTGGAGGGACCTAAAAGTTGGTACCTTACACCGAGGAACATTCCCAAAGTGTCAAACTTCTATCTCAATTAGGAAAAAAGTTACAGGGGTGGTAGGTGACTTTTGGATAACCCTGTATATTCTCTCTTTACTTTTTCTTTTATTGTATTTTGCTGGATGCCTATATGTACTTTCTTCCATTCCTAGATATTTTTATGATTCACCCGGGACTAACCTTCGGATGCCAGTGTCGATGTCTTTATCCATGTTTACATCTTAGACGTATTTCCCTTTCTCGAAGTTTACCTTGGCACACTTGTCTAGGCCAAAATTGCATACCTATGTCGTCACTAAACTCTTTTACCGTCTCAAGTTGTTTTTGCAGTTTCTCGTCGCTGCTGCTGAACAGTGTCAGATCATCTATGTACAGAAGAGGCGTCAGTTGTTTATGGCCTGCCTTGATGTTATATCCATTGTTCATGTTGTTTAAGCGTATGGAGAAGGGTTATACATACAACCCAACACAGAAATAGAAGGGGGGAGAACGCACCCCCTTGGTAGATTCCTCGTTTGATTTTAATTTCAGAGGTGGTAATTTTATCTGTTTTTCCTCCTAATTGGATGACTGTCGACCAATGTTCCATCATGTTCTTACAGGCGTTTACTATATTTGGGTGCACTCCCATGAGTTCCAGTGCACGGGTGATTCAGCTGTGGAGCCTACTCTGCCGTGATAGCGAAGAGAGCCGTAAGTGTAAAATTTTCGAAATCGAATTTTCTTCAAAATTCGTTGAAACCCTTTTAAATGAAATTACCGAGATAACGAAAACAGCAAAATTTATCCTTATTTAATGAAAACGAGACGTATGAGAAAGCCGTAAGTGCACAAAAAATGACTATAGTTTTTTTCAAGACAGCTGAAGGTGCATGAGAGCCAATAAAAACTGTGCTTTTCAGTAAAGTGCCGCCCTCTTCTGCCAGTTTATAACCCGAAAATGTGTTTGTTGTGCGTCCAAAACGCAACCACGAAAGCATGCAGCAGATAGCACTTACGGCTGTCTTGCCTAACAATACCTAACCTAACACGAAACTGAATTTTACCTTTTTCATGTACTTTAAGATAAAATCGGTCGAGTTATAATCCCTCAAATGATTTCTAGGATTCTTCCGGACGAATAGTGGCAATTGGACAAAAAACGGAGGCTTCTTTCAATAAAATGTTCCGGTCACAAGCTTCTGAGCCCGTTTTCTCAGAACTTCATTTTTGCAGTTACGGCTCTCTTCGCTATCACGGCAGTACTGTCGGAGGCTTTATGGTAGTCAAGCCATGCGATCGATGGGTTCTTATTGTTCTTCCTGCAATCTTCGATGATGGTTTTCGATATTAAGAGTTGGTTTAGGCAGCCCTCAGCTCCTTTGTGGCATCCTTTCTGCTCTATTGTTAGTGGTTTTTCACTTTCTAAATATTTGTAGGTTTTTCCGGTCACGAGTGCTGTGTAGGTTTTGTACATTATGTTGAGGCAAGTTATGGGCCTATAGATTTTGGGATTTACATTTTCTCTATTTTCTGCAATCAGGTATGTAGCCCCTTTGGCTAACCAAGGTGGGAATTCTTTCCCGTTAAGTAGTTTGTTATACTTGACTGTTTGGTACTCATGGATGCTAGGAATTTTTTGAACCAATAAAAGCTTTGTATCTTATCTGGACCAGGTGCTTTTCAGTTTGCAAGGTTTCTTATGGTACTTGTCAGTTTACCTGCTTCGAGATCTGTTCATTCCATTGTGTTGTTCGTGACCTCTGAATCTTTGATCCATCCAGCTTCCGAGTTGTGCCGAGAAGGTACTTCGTGTATCCCTTTCCAGAACTCTTTCACCTCTTATTTCTGCAGGGTTGCACCGATGGCAGAGAAGTCACCTTTGATGTTCCTGTAGAAGCTTTTGCAGTTGCTTTTGAAGCTTCTGTTGTGAAAGAACTGATTTGATCTTTTCTGGTAGGTATCTTCTTATCCTTTGGCTAAAGACAGTGATGCGTTGCCTTAAGTGCTCCATTACAATGTCTACAGGGTGTCTCAAAAGTCCGTACCCCCCTCGTAACTTTTGAACGGTTAAAGATAGAAAAACGAAACTTTGGGAACATTTCTATCTTAAAGGAGACCATCTTCTAGGGGGTTCAAAATTTTTGTCCCCCCCTCAGGAGGGGGCGCGGGGGCCCCCAACTTTTTTTTCAAATGGTAACCCCTATCTTGTGATAAATCATTAGAAAGAGCATAAAAAACTAAGAATTTTGGCGCAAACCGCAAATCAATATCTTAATTTTTAACTGAGTTATGATAGGTCAAAGGTCAAATTTGACCTATTTTCAAAAAATTATAACTCCGGTTCAAATTATCGTAAAGAAAAAATGAAACGGGAAATTTTACCGAATTGTAAGCACTTTTAAGTAAAAATCACAGAAATTACTTCAAACTAATTTTAAGGGGGGTTTTGGACCCCCAAATACGTCATCATAAAGGTCATACGATATTCTCGCAAAATGAACCAATTCCCTTTACTTTTCCTCAACATTATCTTAGTAAGTTCAAAATTAGTTCAACATTGCGTTTTCAAGTCCCCAAATTTCGGGCAAAGTTATAAAAAGGTTTAAAGTGATTCAATTCAACCATTTAAATTTCGTTTTTTGAACTTTGCCCGAAATTTGGGGACTTGAAAACGCAATGTTGAACTAATTTTGAATTTACGAAGATAATGTTGAGGAAAAGGAAGGGAAATTGGCGCTTTTACTTAAAAGTGCTTACAATTTGGTAAATTCTCCCGTTTTATTTTTTTCTTTACGATAATTTGAACCGGAGATATGATTTTTTGAAAATAGGTCAAATTTAACCTTTAACCTATCATAACGCGGTCAAAAATTAAGATATTGATTTGCGGTTTGCGCCAAAATTCTTAGTTTTTAATGCTCTTTCTAATGATGTATCACAAGATAGGGGTTTCCATTTGAAAAAAAAAGTTGGGGGCCCCCGCGCCCCCCTGAGGGGGGGGGGGAACAAAAATTGTGAACGCCTAGAAGATGGTCCCCTTAAGATAGAAACGTTCCCAAAGTTTCGTTTTTCTATCTCTAACCGTTCATAAGTTACGTGGGGGGGTACGGATTTTTGGGACACCCTGTATACTGTTTTCTTCTCCTTCCGGGGTGTTTTTATATTGTCCAAGATTAATTGGACTTTGTGAGTCGTCTGCTGTTCTTTTCTTTTGCTCGTTATTTTGAAATTAGCTAGCACTGAGACGTTCCTCTTCAGGTCTTAAATTCTGAACTCGATTCTTTTATGTCATGAGGGCTTACTTTCTTTCTTGTTCATTTCAGTTCCTTTTGGGCCGTTCGTCTCATCGCTGATTGTGACTGCTGCAGCGTGGAGCAAGCAGTTGATTTTCCACAAGTCAAGATTTTCAGCGTTCTCTAGTTCTATCTTGAAGAGGGTTCCCGCGTCTACATCTTTTGGTTGGAGAAACCTGTAAAATACACCCTGACTCTTCTTGAATACCTAAGCAATTTTGTCCCGGCATGAGTTACTGTTTTGTTATCTCTTTAACCTCGATTCTTGTACCTGTAACTTTTGCTTTAGAAGATCTAACATTTCTGTTTCAGTGGGATTATATTCCTTCTTGAGCTTTCCCAGATTTTTTTTTCCTGGCTTACCTTTCACTTTCCCACGACCAATGCCTACAGACGATCCATTGATTTGAGTCGTGTGTAATGGGTGGTGTACTGGTGCAGTGACTTTTTTGCCAGCCTGAACACCGACGCTAATCGACAGTGGGCGTAGTATGTACTTACCTAGATAGAAGACCGCTTAGGAACGAGCGTTTACATCATGGAAAAACCTGCACCAGTTAGTGGTCACAAGCACATGATGAGTGGCTCTGAGTCTCAGTAGAACACTTTTCCTGTCCAATTTTTAAAAAAATTCATACGCACCTTTCATTCAATGTTTTTCACACGAAATTTATTAGTAATTAATTGCGTGAATTTCAACAGTTACAGAAAAATTGCAATAAAGTACGCAATATGCTTGGGATCATGTGGCAAATTTTTTGTTGCAAAATGCTACTTTAGCGTCAAATATTATTTCATGTTCCCATTTCACTCATTTTAGGTTGCAAAGTTTGTAGGTAAGGAGTAAAAAAAAACCTGACAATGTCAAGGAGGGAGTCTGAAAATTTTGCTGGCTCATAGACCTTGATTTTGCCCGTTTCATTGAACAAGAATGATTGTGATCTTTTAATTATTTTCTTGTGCCCTTTCACTCATCTATGGCAGGGCCGGATAGAGCCGGGCCCCGAGCTTTGCGGGCCCCTGACGCCGGTTTTTTTTTTTTTTTTTTTTTTTTTTTTTTTTTTTTTGTAATGGGAATCGGGCCGGCAATTTGAGGAAACCCGGCTTTCAAGGGGCCCAGCTTAGTTCCTCCCTCAGCAAAGATTATTTTTCTGCTTAAAGGAATTATGTAAGAGGCCCCGAAAGAGGGGCCCAGGGGTCAGAAATTAAATTGCAAAACCGCTGTAGTCACTACCAAAATCGGGCAAACAGATTCGTGCAATTTGACTCTTCAGTCAAAATTTTGAAAATTTCAATTTATTTTTGCTTGTTCTGACAAAGAAGACTTTCGCGATTCTAACGAGTTCTTGTTATGAAAAAAGAAAAGAAAAAAAAAATCAAAACGAAGCTAGTTATTTTGAAAATGATAAGTTATGTCTCCTATATGCACTTGAAATCACTTGTCTCTCTTAAAAATTAACTGATTTATATTTTGACCTAAGGGCCCTTTATGCGCTAATATATTTGCGAACTAATTGCGTCTTCTCTTACATTTTGTGATATTTCCGGGTATGTTTGTTTGCGAAAATAGTTTTAGACTAAATTAGTTAGTTTGTAAGATATTCTCTAAAAAATACGTATTGGTCTAAATGGCTCTAAAGTTCTATTTTTTTGGAATTCAATATTTAACAGTTTCGGAGGGTCTCGGGTCTCCTTCTTTCAGGGGGGGGGGTAACACCCCCGTCCGCATCTACGGTTGCAAAATTTAAATGATAATAAAATCAGAAAATTTCATGAAATGTTTCAAGAAATTTTGAAAAATTTGAGATATTTCACGGCCTCGACTTAATTGTTTTGCTTAAAAAATAACATAAAATGTATAAAAGGGTCGTATCCTGCACATTTGAGGACTTGAAAATTAGCGCTCCCTGAAGCGTACAATATGAAAAAAGTGGTGTAAAAAAGAGCATTTACAGGTCAATTTTTTCAAAATTTTCCGGGGGAGGCCCCCGCGGACCCCCCTCCGGTGGGGGCCGTCACCTTTTGGCCCTGCGGACCCTTCCGACTTCCAGCTGCCCGGGCCTTTTAGCTTCTACCCGGCCCTGTCTATGAGCAAAGCTTATACTTTGCCCGAAATTCGTTCAATTTGCATGACTTTTTGGCCTTTTTACGTGCGTACTTGCAAAAGTATTTTTCAATATCATGACGATGAGTGATTATTAGGGGAATAAGATTCAAAGGAAATGTTGATGGGGACAAATTAGGAGGAAATAAAAAGACCGAATATTTCTTTAAATATAAAACTTCATAAAGGCCCATTGAGTGCAACGTAACGAAAATATTGAACTAAGTGTGTAATATTGTGCGATGAAATTGCATTTTTCATACCATGAAAATGCAACATTTTTTCATCATTTGGCCAGTAAAGGTTTCACAAGTATATTCTCCGTTGTTTTCACGAAGTCTTCATTCCTACTACAACCGAATTTGACAAGCATCAAAATATAGATTTTTTACCCCGAGATAAGAAGTATCTGAAATTTACGAACATACGTAGGTACCTTACGTATTTTTATCATAGCTTTAATTTATCACAGTCAATGCGAGAGGAGATTTTTGAAGAAATATCTTTCAATTTTGGAATTTGGACACTACATCAGAGAAAATAAAACAGGCTCATTTAGAGGATAGTGAGTACTCACCTTTTAATAGCCGACAACATCATTGAAATTGGTCTGTAAGATGTTTATTTTTTACCGTAAACGCCAAGTCATAATTTTCCTCATCACATCAAGTTGAAAGACCGCTGCAGATAGCTTATACTTCTTTAGACAGATCTGCGGAAGCTCGGAAACCTTATTGTAAAGACACGCGTGTCTTTACAACGTCAAATTCGGTTGCAGTAAGGATGAAGACTTCGTGAAAACAACGGAGAATATACTTGTGAAACCTTTACTGGCCAAATGATGAAAAAATGTTGCATTTTCATGGTATGAAAAATGCAATTTCATCGCACAATATTACACACTTAGTTCAATATTTTCGTCGCGTTGTACTCAATGGGCCTTTATGAAGTTTTATATTTAACTTATTCCCTTTGATATTAAACCTCAGTGACGAATGATTGAAGTGAACCATTATTTTTGAAAACCTTGCAAACTATTTAAATTAATTAACCCTATTTAAATACATCAAACTTCTGTTTTTCAAAGTGGCCGTTTTCCTCTTTAGGTTTGTGTCGATGGGTTGTTGCAGTAATTAAGTACAATGATGTTTCTACCATCGTTGCTCCCAAACAACAAGAGCTAGCAGAGGCAGAAGCAAAATTAAACCATGCCATTGGTGTTTTGAAAGAGAAACAAAGTAAAGTAGAAGCTGCGGAAAATGAATTAAAGGAGTTGGTTAAGAAATTAGAAACAAAGAAATTGGCCTTACACAACCTACAAGCAAACTTAGATTCGTGTAGAACCAAGCTTCAACGTGCTGAAGATCTGATAAGTGGCCTCGGTGGGGAGAAAAGTAAATGGTCATATATGGCTGAAAGTTTGGCGAAGAAATGTCTTTCACTGACAGGTAATTGCATAAAAACTCTATCCATCCATTAACTTACTATGGGAGCGCTTGAAAAATAATATGGTTTTCTGACTCATGCTTCATAAAGAGCTGAAGAAAAACTCTTTTATCCGTGCCATCAAAATGATTTAGTCGATAGTCATTACCGATTGATGATTAGTGATAACAAGCTTAGGTACATATATACCTAGTAGGTACCTACTCAACCTTTCAGGATTGAAATGGTTTCTTGATATCAGGAACTGATAATTTTCGAACTCAAACATAAAAGGTCAATTCCACTCTCTTTGGCATAAATGATTAGATATTTTCAAAAAGGAAGGATGACTCACACAATTCATATAACTTGCAGCATTTGAAAAAATGAAACTGGTGCATCAACAAATTCATCAACAAAACGCGCCCGTTTTGCTGACAAATCTTTGGTCAAAAATATTGGTCAAACAACTAACGGTTTGTAAGACCAAGCATATGGATATAGGAACAAAATAGTCCAAGTCCTAGATCAAACGAAACAAGTGAATTTCTCTAAAACTCATCGCGACCATGCGAGGAACGGGTGAATTCTCCAAACTTATTCTCCTGAACTACCTACGGAAATGTTCGGCAACTTTTGCTGGAATCAGGGGGAAACGTGAATTAGACGAGGAAAACATGAGGTCCCGAGGAGCCTAGGACTTCCCTCGTAAAAATGGCAAGTGTTAGGTCAGTGAATTTTCCATTGAGGTCAGTGCGATTTGCTCTGAGGTTAGTTCAGTTTCCTCTGACGTAAGTGTTAAAGCACTTACCAAAGACATAAAGACGGAGCACTAAAAGCAAAAAATGAAGCTTCTAAAGCTTCTTTTCAATCACCTCTACTATTGGCTAGAGGATTGGCGGCGAAATCGGGACAAGTTTGAATTCAAATAGAGGGCGGGAACTAATAAATAAAATTGCGGAAACAAAGTATTTTAGGTTGATTTTTGCCCAAATTCAGGTACACACTCATATTTTTTTAACTTTAGGTTAGTTTCAGTCCGTCGTCGACCGATTAATTTCATTTGGGAGTAACGTTGATCTAGAACTGTAACGGCCTGTTTGAACCTGCAGAACCACCATGAGCAGAAGAAAAACTAACTTTATGTGAGATTACTGCCTGTTACCGAGCAAAAGTAGGTGTATTATATTAGGACGCAGACCGAACTTTCTTAGTATATTCGTTTTAGGAATTTAAAATACGTTTCAAGGATGAAATGTGCAAAAATCAAGAGGACAAGTTCAAATCAAATTTCCGTTTGCCGCCATGGATTCCCGCGCTCATTTACACACTCACACAAGCGCGCAGCGCCGAACCTAGCTTCACTTTTTCCCCGTGCTTTTAGATACGAGCGCTCCGTCTTTATGTCTTTGGCACTTACCCAAGAAGTCAGCACTGAGAAGAGGCACTGACTTGATAGGAATCACTTAGGTTAGAGATCATTCACTGAGGTAAGGGACAGTTGGGGTCATGAGACGGACTTACGTATGTGTTCGGTTTACTGAGGTAAGAGGCACTGAAGTCGGGAGAAAGGCTTACCTAAGCGAAGCACCACTTACCTCAGAGATATCTCTGAGGTAAGCGGGACTAAGGTCAGGACTAGGTTCAGAGGGTAAGTCTCTGATATCAGTCTTGATCGAACCGTACTCACTCTCAAAGAGTAGAAATGGCTCCCCCTTCCCCCAGCCTATTTCATTTTCGTGGGGGAATATTTCCTCGGGATATGGGGACCACAAACTTTATCTTACAGAAAGGCATATTTTTTAGGAGGGGGATTTTCTAAAAGGGAAGGAAAACTTGTTTAGGTAGCCACACTCTTGAATAATTATTTGTTTTACCTTCTTCGTTTATGATGGCACTTAAATAATTAAAACACACAAAAAAATGAGATCCGTAAAAATATTATCACCGCTCTATGTATTTAGATGTATTTATTTAGGTATTAATATTTTTTCAACTTCAGAGATTTTTTTTAATTTTTTTTAATTTGGCTTTAATTTTTTTCAGTTTTAACTCTTTTTGAAATGTTTTAGTCTTAAGTTTTTTTTAAATATTCCTAATTTTTTAAAATTCTTTTCCAACTTTTTTTACTCCGTACTTTCAATTTTTGTACCTGCTAATTTATAATTTTTGTATCATTTCAACTTTAATTTTTTTTTACATCCCTAGCTATTATTTTGAATTTTAATGCGGTCCATTTTTTATTTAATTTAAAAGAAACATTACGCATACAACTTTACCTACGTGTTGATTGATTAAAAAAGAATATTAAAAAAATTAAATATCGGATTTAAAAAAGACAAAATCATCATTTGCTGGCATAATTACTCCAATGGGGGCCCGAGGCTCTGAAATGGCATTATTACGCCCCTGCCACTTGCACACGCATGTAGTGTAGTGGCTCAGTCGTTAGATCGATCACCGAAGTTAGGCTACATCGGGAGTAGTAAGTACTTAGATTGGAGACCGCATGGGAACGAGCGGTGTCCACTGAAGATTGTGACAATTACTTGTGATTGGAAACATACAGCAGCCCTCCCTGGTCGTCAAATAGTGAATTTACGTACCTGGTGTAGCGGTAATTAATTAAAATTTTGCCGTTACAGTATTTCTGGGAGTTTCCACTCCGCTTACGTCCGAGGCACGTAGGTCAGTGCTACTTACATCAGAGGCTTTTGCCTTTGGAACAGACCTAACACTGACGTAACAGATCAGCGCCCACCAGCACTGACATCAGTGTTTAGGTCTGTTCCAAAGGCAAGTGCTACTGATCTGAGCATTTGCCATTTTACCAGGGTTCCCTGCTAGCCAAAATACCATATAAAATTCAAATTATGATAGAGCAAAAATACCTATCCAAATTTATATATACAGGGTGTCCCAAAAGTCCGTAACCCCCCCCCCCCCCCCCCCCCCCCC